AAGTTGTTCCCATCTTAAGGAACCTGCTCTGTCCTTCCCTCTCTACCTGTGTCATTCTTGCTCTCCATCAGTAGAAATGGACCTTATTGCTTCATTGCAATTAGAGATTTTAATTTGACTTGATAATGCCAGGTCTAAAACACTTTGAGTGGCCTTTATTCTTGTAGGAGGCCTTTAAGATGGACCAGATCCCCTGGCTTAATAATGTGAAGGAATGATCCCAAAAGCTGAGGTTCAGCTTGGGCCTGTGCTTATGCTTGGAGGCATTATGGGCTTGAAAGTCTTTCTCAGTGACAGAATTGATGATGAACCTGTAAGAAATGTTTATTTATGGTCAGGGAGAGCTAAAACTGCAGAAGAGGTGAATGCCTGGTTTAGGAGTTCCAGAGACTGTGTCATCCCAATAGTCTAATCTAAAGTATCATCTTCTGGAACAGTTTTAAGGCCTGCTTTCTGATTGGTGAGCTGTGTTAACACCTAGCCTTGCTGCCCCACCCAGATGGGCTGTAGGCCTTCCTACAGTATAAGCCCAAAGCCATTCTTCCTCTGTTGTCCTTTTAAGTTCTTGTCAGGTATTTGATCACAGCAAGGAGAAAAATAACTTTTTCCAGGTACTTTTAACATTCATGTTAATGATTAGCCCTCTAATATGTAATTTTTGTGTCTTATCAGCTATAGGTTTATCAGTGTATTATGTATATGTGTATGTATCTATGTATGTATGCGTTTACCATTCTGGCCTTGAAATCATGATGATGCTCCTTTCTGTTTCAAGAGTGTTGATGTTACAAGTATGCACCACTGGGCCTGAGATTTTTTTTCTGTTTAATGTTTTGTAGAATCCTTGTTGTGATTGTTAGTGTTGTCTTTTGATTTCATTTTCGAACTGTTGTTTTGCTCTGTGTTTCTCCCATTTCCTAATGTGGAAGGTTAAGTGACTGACATTTCCTCTCTTCATTTCTCCCATTCCTGTTAATGCTTGAATTTTCTTCCCAATACTGCTAATGTCAGGGTTTTCAGTGTCTGAGCTGAGTGTTTCCAAGGTCTTGCCTCTTATTCCAGAATGAAATAAAAGCCCACACAGGGTCTCCCTGTCTCCCCAGCTGGTTTGGAGTCACTGTGTAGACTTGGCTGCCACAGTTTCAGAGAGACCCACCTGTCTCTCTCCTCCCCCAGCACCCTCAGCTTCCAAATGCTTTAATAGTTTGCACCTGGCTGTAGGACTTTGAAGAACTAAATGTTATCTCTCCCCTACTCCCTCCTTTGTGCTGACTACATCCCCTTTAACTCATCCTACTCCATTGCTTTCCTCCTCAAGGCCATTTCTTAGTTTCCTCATCTCTATTCTCCAGTTGTAATATGCATATTTAAGGATTCAAAGCTGACATCCATTTTTAAGCAAGAACATAGGTCTTTCTTGATTTCAGTTACTCAGGATGATTGTTTCCAATCGCATCCATTTCACTGTGAATTTCAGAATTTCTTTTTGCTTAAGAGCTCAAGAATACTCCACCTGTAAATTGAGTTTCATACTTTCATTGTCTTTTTGTCAGTTCATAGACATCTAGATGGTTTCCATTTCCTGGCTACTGCTAATACAGCAGCAATGAACATGGGTGAACAGGTATCTCTGTCGTAGGATACAGGGTCCTTTGGGTAATGTGTTTTTAGCTTTTTGAGGAATCTCCACAATGATAACCATAATGATAACTGGCTGCACCAGTTTGTACTCTGACCAACTATGAATAAGTGTTACTCTTTCCCCACATCCTTGCCACGGTTTGTCATCATTTGTGGTGTGGATCTTAGCCGTTCTCAAAGACTGGGCTAAGATGAAATGTCACAGTTTTAATTTGCATTTCCCTGGTGGTTAAAGATGTTGTACAATTTCTAAAAA